AAAAAAAAGTAATAATAATAATAAAAAAATTAAGCTACTTGTACATTTATTTTGCATATGATCATGGTTGGCATTTCATAATGTGTAAAAAAAATATGACGATTGATTTAAATAAATGTTATTTAAAATTTTAAATAAATGGTGAGACTGCTTGCCACGTCATGAAATGTTAATAAAATTATCAACCAAGATATACGTGTAGTAAAATTTGAAAAAAATGTAAATACAAGTGCAAATATACGATAAAAATGAAAGTAGGACCAAGGAAATAAAGGCCGTCCTAGTATATAGAGGCATATGCAGCGGCAATAGGGTAAAGTAAAATATCCTAATTTAAATACAATCGCGCTACACACCCAGGTTAATTGACAGGCAATTTCCCGGCTGACGTGGCAAGCAATTTAAAAAAAAAAGATTAAATTTGCAAAATTGGAACCTCTCCCCAAATCGACTCCTTCTCCCAAATCCACACCCACCACCCACAAATTGGAAGGCCAACTCCAAACGCATCCCTCTTCTTCGGCAGCACTTCCACACCCACCACCCACGTAATCAATTCCACCCAAATCAAGCGCCACACTTTCATCATCTCCAGGTGCACATCATTCTAAGGTACCATCGTGTCCTCCGATAGCAATTTCATGTAGTATTCCGCCACCAGACGATTTTGAAGGTCACACTGTACTCGAAGTTTCCTCTGCTCCACTCCGGTTGCTCTTCCTGTCGTAACTACCAACAACTATTTGGAAGAAGAAAAATGAAGTTATAAACAGGTAGATTTCGAGCAAATCGTATTTTCCCCCTTTTTCTCTTTCTCCACTTATTTGTGTTTCACTCCCTTTTACATTTTTTGAATTTCAATTACTCATCTTTGAATCTATCTTCATTTTGCTGTGTCTTATTACTCTGCTATCCGTCTGTCCCGATCTTCATTATTTCTTCTTGTACGTGTAATCCCCTCCATTTCAATAGAACATATCAAGGAATGAAATACAATTCACATTTCGTTATGGGTCTGTAATTTCTCATTCAATAAAGCTGGGTTATGGAATTCCTGTTTAGTATCTTATATTTATTTTGTTTAGAATATCTTCGAATGCTATTGACCTACATGACTGAAATTGTGACAATTTTTGTTGGAGAATTTCATGTTATTTCAAGAATTTCATGCTAGTGGATGGAGAAGAAAATGTCACTAAATTGAATCTTCTGAAAGTGTCCCGTGTTCTGGAATTATGAATCTTGAGTACGTGTCGTTGTTTTTCATCTTCAATCATCATGGAAACATGTTTTGTTTATGTGTCTACCTTGTAGTTTATATGTTCATTATGATGGTTGTTGAGTGTTTCTTACCTTCAATTGTGATTTAGTTTCTTGTCATTGCGTGAATTGGTATGTGGAATTAGCATTTGCTGGAGTTGACAATGATATGTGGTTTATTCCCATCATAGAATGGTTAGAAGGAATATTGAAATATATCATAGATGTAGATTTAAAAGCCACTATTTTTCCGAATGCCCACGGAAACGCCGATGTCCATCATGCAAACATGGATTTGAGAAGTGATTCGGGGAGGAAAAGGAGACGGAAAATAAAGGGCGATTATTTCTATGCTGCAGTGACAATTGTGGTTTTTTGGGATTGGGTTGTGAAGGAAAAATCAAGTGGTGAATCGTCTAGGGTAGCACTTTCTCAGTTAACCATGCGGCGGCTGAAAGAGTTGATGATATATCGCACATGTTCCAATCTCGCGTTCGCATGAACGATGAAGTAGATCTTCAGATTTCAGTGAACGTGACGGTATGCAAGGCAAAAGGTAGCACAGAGTCGAATACATGAGTAGAGGGGTCGCCTTGATTTGTAGTTATTAATTGATCGGTTACATAAACTTTTGTGTATGTAGGATTATAATGACCGATGCTATGTGAACTATGTTCGTAAAAATTTTGTCATGTACATTTGTATCTTCTCACCTGCAAGGGTTGTTAAACATTTGGATTACTATGTAATCACTCTTTTAATGAAATGTAAGTTATTCTTCCAATTAAATTCCTGTGATTGAATTACTTATCTCAAATAGTGTGTGATCTCTCTTCACACCTAAACGATGTGCTCATCCGTATCTCACACCAACAATGCACATAAACTAATGACTTAATCAAACAATACTTGGCGCATCCCCTTCCCAATTGTAAACAACACAATTCTAGCGAGTTCTAATGCAGTCAACCAATGGTGCATGTTGAGCAGGCTCAGGTTTAGATACTTCATCCGAATTCCATTAAAGTTGTAAAGATCAAAGACCTTCTTACCCATCAATCCAGATGAATCCTTTATACCACCTAAACTCTTATCTAAATCCAAAAGAACCTGCCAAAATTCACTCCAGACAATAAAACCCGTGCCGCATAGATGCTCAAGCTTTTCAGACGGAAGGTTAATGTTTGTTTCTTTTAGGACTTGATGGAAGCCTTCCACACTAATGAATCCACCACCTCCAATTAAAATATGTGATAATTCTATAAATGATGATTGCATTAAAATATGATCGATATGAATATGACATTAGACAGACTTAGTGTTATGAGACCATTATAGTCGAAATCATTCATTTATCATTTCACAATTATCATCCAACTCTATCCATACTCTCAAAAGAATAACTTGTTATAGCAACAATATCCCTTTTAATGTCATGTTTCTGGATTTCATTTCGTTCATCCACGTAAGAAAAATGGACAGTAGAATAAACTTTGAAAATTTCGACAAACAAGCCATTTTTGCTTAGAATTGAGAAGTAGCTTAATTTATCTCCTCCTTTACAACACCTGCACCATAAGAATACCCATCAAGCTCATACCTTGAAAAAATGAAGTCACAATGCACAGAAGAAAAAAAATCCCTTCATATATAGAAAATGCACAAAAGAAAAAAAACCCCTTCATATAGAGAAAATGCAAATTGAAAAAAAACCCCTTTATATATAAAAAATATTAGAATCATTTTCTTACGAACCTTTGCATGGATGAAAAATTCTGTCATCAAGCATAAACTAACATCAGTTGCCTAAGCTGCCTTGATCCGGTGAATGGGGGTTGTAGTACGGCATTGCTTCACCTACAATATAGGAGAACATGAACTGTGATTACATAAATGAACTACACATCTGAAGTTTACATGTCTTACATTGTTCTTACCTTGTGAACTGTATACAACATTTGCTGATGAAGGAGGGATCAAACTCGAAAGGGATAGTGGTCTTGCGATGGGATACTGTGATAACGGGAATGTTGTCGGCACGGAATAATGTAAATATGAGCACGATGTCGTCACAGAATATTGTTGTGGTTGAAATAATTGATTGTCGACAACACTATCTGCAATATCACTCTGCCTCATTCTCAGGCGCTTCCCTTTGCTCGATGTTGAAATGCCCTGAATGTGGATTATATGATGTTAGTCTTAATTTTTTGAAACATTTGTAGTGCACAGTCTAAGGTGTTAACATACTTTAGCTTTCTTAGAACTCGATTCTAATAGACCCTGTCTCCGAAGTTTCTTCGACGTCCCTTTTGTGCGCGACAATTTCGGATCACGTATAGGCATGTTGGCATTATTTTGAGAGTCATTGCACTGATCAACTAATTGAATGGTATGCTGCGAGATGGCATTGCTACCACTACACGACTTTTTTTGACGTCATAAGATCTTTACATTGAAGTTTTATCCAGTCCATAATCACATGTGATCGACCTTCATCATCCGCGGCGAGGTCTGCCACCTGCGCGAAAGGGAGACACATGTCGTCATATCTCATTTGTTCAAACACTATCTATGTCTTGTGTTTGGAAAAACGATATGAATTGCATTTTTCATTGCCCTGTCTTGATCGGTAATTATTCCAAGCGGTACTTTATCGTGCACACACTGAAGCCATGTTCTAAACAACTACACAAAGGTATCTGTGTCTTCGTTCGATACCAAACCACAACCAAGCAGTGATAATTGTCCGTGATGATTGATACCAACAAAAAGGGCAAAAGGCATGTCATACTTGTTTGTAAGGTAAGTGGTATCAAATGTAACAACATCGTCGAACTTTTTACACGCTTGCCTACAGCGATTATCTACCCAAAATACATTCCTCAGCCGCGAATCATCGTCCAAATCCATGTTTAAGTAAAATCCCGAGTACTATGCTTGCATTTTTGAAAAATATGATTGAATTACTGCGACATCTCCTTCTCCAAGTCTTAATCTTCTCACCTTTCAATGTAATTTCAACAATCTTTTTCCACGTAACTCATGTTATCATAACCACATGCTTCTACGACTGCAGAATTGTAACTTTTATGTAATGGAATTCTTGCCAAATCATTCACTTGTAGCTTGCGTTGCACATGTGCGCTTAACTCTCTATTGTATTGAAATAACCTGGACTTCGACGGGCTAGTTTCATGAATGTGGTCGAGGTGGACCGTGTTAATTCTCTAGACTCCATAAATATCTACAGATGTAGAGATTCTAGCTTTACAGCCCATCTGAATTGTTGGTTGTGGCTTCAAAGATTCGCTAGTATTACCAACTCTTCGACCTTCACAGCTACAAGTCAGTGTCACATATCTCAATTCTCCATCGTCTACCCTTTTCGAGTTTCTTTTCTTAACAGGAAAACCAACGACGTAAGCATATTTTTTGTACAAGTCAAACATATCCTTCAAATTCTTAAACCGCATACCCACCTCAGGTACAGTCACACATTGTCCTAATGAGGTTTCACCTTCTACTATGTTAACGGAGTCCATCCCGTTCTCATCATCCTCTTCCACCAAAACATCATCATGCTCGTTTGGCACTCCATCCATAATTTCTTTGGCTGCAATAACATAATTAGTCACGTTCAATAATACAATTAATAACACTACGATATATAGCTAAAAATTATTCTGGAACATGTTCTTCAATTCTACATTGTGCATATGCTTGTCAACAAAATTAGGACATAATGAAAATTTAGTATATGGTAAACTTAAAGGTCATCTGGTCTAGCTCCAAAACAATGCATAATAGAAGAATTTATATTGAGGAAAAAAATTGAGGGATTGATCATTTTTAGCCGTGAGTAAGATTTTCACCTTTTGCTTTGTTAAATCTTACTCTCCATATACGTTCCCATATTATAACTTAGGATTAATTTGAATGTCAAATTGAAACGTTGGATTTGGAACTTTTTGAAACCACTTACCCCCAAGTAAGCTCCTTTTAAGCATCTACTTCTCTTCTATTGAAGAAAGCAATCTGTAAAAAATCCAGAAACTTTCGAATTCCCTCTTTTACGGAAACTATTACTTAAGAAGGAAATGAAATAATAGTGGCGATCAAGGGTTATCACATGGATTGGGACCTCGAGCAAATTTGAGTAAAACCTCCTTCCAGCAAGGAGAAATGCAATAGAATATAAATATCCTTCCAAACAAACATGAGAAACTATTCCGGGGAAAAATCGCTTATTAAACTTTGGATTTTTTCTTCTCTTGGCCGGACTGGTGACGCCAAAATGAGCAGGCCCCAAATTGGATTCTAGTATTTTCACGTTCTGGAAAAATTTATAGATTTGTTCTATGTTATTTTCCTCGTTTTCTGCTGCCAAAGTTGTCACGCGAAATTTTTTTGCCCAAAATCGGATTCTAACATTTATGGATTTGTTCTATGTTCTTCTCTAGATTTTTTGCTGTGTATTTCTCACTCTCCCTCACGTAAATCGGCTATGGGTAAGTGTATATTTCTAACTCTCCCTTACGTAAATCGGCTATGGGTAAGTGTATTTCACGTTCTCTCACCACGTGTAAATTATTTTTTTCCCTCCAAGCACTAAAGTTCCCCAATAGGTAACGAACTTTACCTGTGGTCCTAATCATGTGGCTTTCATCCCTTCATAATTATTAGTTTCACTTATACCAAAATAATATACTCCATCATGTCAATAAAAATACATTTACTTTTCTTTTCATTTATTTCAAATTATGCTATGTTTGGTACACATTTTTTCAAAATTCATTTTCAATCACACATTTTTCAATAATATAATATTTTCCATCACATCAATAATTTTTCCATACTTTTTAACCACATATTTTTTATCATATCACTATTTAAAATACATTCTTTCTTCAATAATATTCATCAATCACACCATATACATCACTCTCCATATTGAAAATATAATTAGATTTTTATGCTACATGTACATCAAGTTTGACGTCATTGTAAGGTATCAACTTTTTATACATTAATTTTAGCAACACTTTAAATAATCAATTATACAGATTTTGCCAAGTCTTCAAGTGTCAAACTCGTTCTACACGAGTTTAATTCTTTAGTTTCCTAATATGCATCAATTTAGCCATTGTTTGGTGGCCGTTTTATTGAATCTTTTAGACAAATGTAGTTAAAAAGTAGAGAAATTTTTTGAATTTACATATAGAATATTTTATTGTGTGAATGCGTGGTTAAAAATAAGTATGTAAAAAAAAAAAGGTTGTGAAAGAATGGTAGACAAACATAAGCTTAATGTGTCTCATTATCAATGAATATGAACTACAATTATTCAATATAGGATTATATCAGGAAAAAAAAATGTAATTTTAATATAGTTTTAACTATTTATAATTAAATTTTCTTAATACTTATGAAAATGAAAGCATGTCAATTTATATGGGATGAAAGGGATTATACTTTCTGCATGTTTCTCCCCATTGATTCCTTCGGGCACATATAGCCCTGGTTTAGGTTGCATTAAAAATAGATATTGGAAAAAGTGTAATTTGGAATAGTGATTTTTTAAAGAATGTATAGTTAAAAAATAAGGAAAAATTTTGATTTTATATATAATATTATTTTATTAGAGAATGTGTAATTGAAAATAAGAATGAAGAAAATGCAATATTTTTATTTTTAAAATGGAGCCCAAACATGGACTTAATAAAAATGAAAAATTCATAACTACAAATGTTTTAAAATACAATTACAAAAGCCACAATAGTACATAATTTAGTGTCATAGTCACATACTAATCACTATATGTCCAATTACATATTTAGTCTTAAATCGTACATTTTAACACGTTATCATTTATTTAGTCACAAATTATCCAACTCCATCACCATAGGCACTCCCAAATTTCCGACACTTCAAATCCACAACCCACCACCACCTTTACCTCAAATCCACCACCTCCACCTCCACCTCCACCTCCCCATCGACTTCCACTTCCACCTCAAATTGACAACCATACAAGGAAAAACGAATTTAGTTTTTCTTCTTATGAACCCTCTATTGAAGTTGACGATTAAGGCGTAAAGGTTGCAGTCACCACTGTCAATTTTGTTAATCAGTAATCCTCAAATTTTCAGGCTCAAACACGTTGTCGTTAACCAAAACCAATCAATTTTGAATACAATCCAATCCCGTAACCCATAAATAGTCTACAACAGACCCATCTTTTTGAAAAGTCCAGAAGAGTACATTTTTGTTCCTAT